CCCCCCCCGCGCGCGGCCCCCCCCCCGGGCGGGGGGGGGCGCAGGAGGGTGCGCTGTCATGTCGGATGGCCGAGCGGTGAGGAGGTGAGAAGCCGCAGCTTTCAGGGCGGCCGAGCTGTGAGTAGAGCGGCACCGCTGTCATCCTGTCAGTTTCAGGATGACAGCGGCTCTGTGCGTAGCCGAGCGGAGGATCGGTAAGTATCATTGATACTGGGGACACATAGTACTATGTGTCCCCAGTTATGAATGAACAGAATGTGATTTACATCACTTCCTGTTCATTCATGAATTTCTGAATGGGGAGTAGCACTCCCTATGGAGGCTTTTCCCCATTCAGAACCTGGTGATAGTAAATATTTTACTATCAGTGTCTGAATTAATGGGAAGCCTCTGTACTGAGTGCTTCCCATTCATTTAGAACAGAGGCTGCAGAAAAAGAAATCGAGGACTTTGCGTCCTCAATTTCTTTTTCTTTTTTAAAAGGGAAATGTCAGGGGTCTGTTTGGACCCCTATCGTTGCTTTTCAATGTACTATATAGATGTTAAATATGACTATAATGTATGTATATATATATATAAGTGCTATTTATTGTGAATAATTAATGTGACTGTCACTTTAACAACAACAAAAGCTGACAGGTATAAAGTGCAGGCACCAAGAGGTATCTACAGATACCTGCAAAAGCTTAAAGTCCCCCAGTTCTGCAAATCAGCTCTGACTGGGAAAGCTGATCCTTCCTGGTAGTGCGAGAACTTGCCTCCTCACTCACTCCCTCCCATCCCTATTAATTCCTTATGGTCCATGGGCTACCTTACTGGCTAGCAGCAACGTGTGGGAGACTGGAGGGGGCAGGCAAGTGTTGGCACTGTCAGGAAGTGCTGAAGATTTGCCTGATCAGAGCAGCCCTGCCTTCAGGCAGAGCGGGTACTTTGAAAGGTACAGCAGGTATTTGCAGGCACCTCTAGTACTGGCACTTGTTAAAGTGATAGTAACACTAGACACATTTTACCATTCTGTGAGTTAAACAATTATATACTGTTACTAAAGCACCGATCTTTAAGCCTATCCAGTTTTTTTCACATGATTTCCTATATATATATATATGTATTATTTTTTACTTCCAGAGCCCAAGCATCTGTTATTGGACAGTACAGAAGCTGAGGATTTTGATCAAGAATTCTCCTTCCTGAACTTACAAGCCCCCCTGTCTCCAGAGCTGTCACAAGAAGAACAGAATTTGTTTGGGGTCTCTAGCTCACAAGAGACTAATCCATGGGCACAGCAATCGGACAAGCTGTCCGGATTTCTTCCTTCCCAGCTTCTTGATATGGGTCTGCAGTCTGTTGGGGTAATGAGCAGTAAGTCAAATCTTTTCGTTTTAAGATTCAATCATTCTTGGGCCATGAAAAGTTTTACTACCGAACCTATAAAGATACTACTTTGCTTCCCAGCTGGTTTACATGCATTAGTGGTTATTTCCACTCTGGAAAATGCAGCCACATCCACTGAGGCAGCAATGGTCCCTTTTTATATGAAACACTTTTGAGTCTTATACATAGACAGGCTCTGCATACTAATGATGGCACTTCAATGTTTATCATCATTTTTTTTATATGTTGCTCAAAATTTACAATTTCATCAAATGCCCCCATACGCAGAAAAGTATTTCTCCTAACAATCCTATTTGGTATAACCCTAACTGTTCCTGCGCAATGGAAATATCTACATCAATTGTATCTTAGGGTTCATTTAAATCATTTTCCTCATTGAAACAGCAACTGGAGATATCGAATGCTTTGTATTTTAGATAGCAGAAGCCCAGCTGGGGTTGCAGGATATTTTGCTTCAGCCCTCCTTACTGGAGCGTGTACTGCTCCAACCTCTGCACATGCAACTTATTTCCAGATTATATGCTACAGGGAAAACCCTCTAAATTGCCCCATATTCGGGAACAATGGAGTAAAGATATCGCTGACATAACTGAGCATGGTTGAAGAAATCTCTAACTGGTATTTTTCTACAGTCATATCTATGAGATAAGAGACAAACGTATACAAAGGTGGTATTTTCATAGAGCATATTTTATCCCATTAAATTTTTTTAAATGGGACTTAGATCATTAAAGTGACACACGCACCTGTCATAAATGGCAATTGGTGGTCAGAGACGTTCACCATATGGTATGGAATTGTGCCAAAATGAGACCCTTCTGGTCATAAGTCTTTGAATTCTTCTCTCCACATTTTAATATACCCCATTATATGCAACCCAGAATGCTGTCTGTTTGGCATCTTTGGGAATGTTGATCTCAATGCACCAAAGCCTTTTACGCCTATTGCTTTTCTATGCAAGGGAAACTATAGTACTGGACAACCACTGTGAAGCTAAACATCAGTATGTGGCAATGACTAGTTAAAATACAACCCTGTTGCAGAATAACTTATGAGGCCAGTGGATGCCCCACTCACCCTTACAGGTTTGCTTTTATGAAAGTCACAACATGAAAGGTTGCTGTGAATGTTCGTTATTTCAAAGGCCTTGAGTACTCACGGAACCTGGGCAGCTGGTAGCTAGCAGATAATGTTCAAGATTAATAAAAATGAAGAAGCTCCCAGTGCCTGGCCTGAAGTGTCTAATCAGAAAAGTGAGTCTTCAGAGACCGAGCAAACACATAGGCGATCCCAATAGCTCCAGACCTAGAAAGCGCTCCACAGCTGACTTAACCAGAACCAGTCTGGAAAGTACTCAGGCAGAGCCCCGTGCCCACAAGTCACTTCCAGGCTCACCCTGCAATGCCTGGTCCACAGGGGTCCAGTGGTAGTAAGATCAAAAGTCAAGGCTGTGGTTAACCGCGCCTGGTAGCTGCGAGAAAGAGAGGCGACTTCCAGCAGCCATGTGGAGATGAATCGTGATTGAAAAGAAATAAAAGTGACTGGGGAAAAAAGGGTTAATTATTTATAGGAGCAGAGCTGAGATAAGTCATCCATACTCCTAAGGCACTAGAAAAAAACTGCATGCTGGTACCGTAGTAGAAGGGGTTATACCTTGGGCGGATCTAAAGTTTTTAGTTTTTTTGTGTGCCAGTGTCCAATCCGCCTGTAGGAAGCAGTATAACCTGAAGGTGTATGACTTCTCGTGTCCATTGGGAGGATGAGAAAGAAAATAGAATTTTATATTTAAACCAGAAGCTTGAACTGAACATAGCTTTGGCAGTGAGAAAAGTAATAGACTTTAGGCCACACTATCTGAATCGTATTTGGCTTTGGAATGCTGAATGATGATGTATTGAATTTCAAGATGAGGACAACATCATCATTATTTGGTTTTTATTCCTTTTTTGTAACTGAATTCACTGTGCCAGCATTTCAGGATCTGCTTCTGTTCATCAGTTCTCATTGCTAATGGAGTAGTGTGCCTTAGTCATTAAAAAGGATGGCTCCTAGAATTACAGAGTCTTGGCTTCAAATCAAAGCCCTATTTAGATAACCATGTGGTTATGTCTCCTGCAGTTCATCACAGGAGTATTATATACACTAAACTGAATAAACTAATAAGCCGTGTTTGTTTACATCAGTTTTTATACTTCATCAAAAAAACCTGTCCGAATAGAAATAAGGGAGCTGCACTTTCAGATCTACATCCTGATGAAGTGGGTCTTATGCCACCAAGGCTCACATCTACTTTAGTCAATTACTGTCTAGTACTGCACTGTGTTTGATTGGGTATCACACATATACCATGGGAGCACATGCAGGGTACTATACTGAATGTGTATAAAAGTGTGTGTTCAAATACAGTGTGCACTTGCTGTGACCAAGCTGTTACTAATAGTTATGGAAGCCAAACACATCAATTCTCAGCTGCTGATCACTTTAATTTTACAGTGGTCACCTTGCAAACTAATAAATCCTGCTTTGTCTGCCTGTGCAGTCCAAGGGAAGACAGAGGGATGGTATGCTGTGCTAAATTGCTTTGTAGCAAGCTAAGGAGAAAATAACTCTTTCATAATCTGTGGTATTATATAACAGTGTGGTTAAAGAGAATCTAGTCAGCAATGTATTTTTATATACAGTACAATTCTTGAATGAGCAGCCAACATACCCAAAACTAGACCTGATCCTTCTGTCCCTGACACTGCACCACAACACATAGTAGGGCGTTATCATGCATTGGCCTAGTGTGCTGGGGTGCCATTCACAAATATTGTATGCATACTTACTGTGTTACTGTAACACAACGATGTGAAGCCAGCCTGAAGCACCTATAGGCATTAGGTTTATTATATCTCTTGATAATACTGATTTTGACAGAGTTGGGATATCTTTGGACATCATTAGGGATGCACTGATACCGGTTTTTCGGTATGGAGTACCGATATTTTTTCCCGTTATTAGCCGATACTGAATACCGATACCGGAAGTCCCATTAAGGAAGCTGGGTGACATGTAATGACTCGCCGACCGGCTTCCTGATTAGCCATGGAGCTGGCTTTCTGGCCAATCAGGAAGCCGGGGAGGCAGGTAATGACTCGCCGCCTGGCTTCCTGATACTGCAAGTTTCCGTATAGGGATAAGTATTGGGAGCATATGGGTGAATACGAGTACTCGACCAAATGCTCGGTATCGGTGCATCCCTAGACATACTTGGGCAGAGAGCCATGATTGGGATGGAGCCTTTCAGCTGGGTTGTATTTATTATATCCAATAGATTATTGTTCCCCAAAGATTAGAATTGTGCTCTATGTACCTGCAGTGCAGATAGACGTGTAGGACATAAGATGAATTTGCCTTATTTTTGCTTGGACAGGAGGGCTTGGAATTTTTCAGGTCTCCTGGTTTCTGATTTTCCTGTGTCTGCATCTACCGTGACACTGACCTTGTATTTGAGTTCAAATTTGTCTACTTCCACTGCTGACCATGCACTGAACTCGAGCTTGTTTCTATATATAGATTTTGTACCTCTCTGCTTGTCATTTAATCTTGTTTATTTGGATGATGTGTGGACCTTACCTTCACTTGAAAAGAGATATGATTTCCTTGGGAACATTCTAGTATTTGTAATCATATGCAGGGTAAAAGGTACCTATAGACATGATAATATAATTGCCCATTATGGCTGGAGCAGAAGAAAATGGTCTTTGGGCATGATTATAATGTGCAGACAATACACGTATTACCATCTGGAAGAGTCAAATGTCACAATAAACTATATAATTGGATGCACTAGTCTCAACTATATAATTGGATGCACTAGTCTCAACCACAAAATCTAGGAGAAATCAGAACCAACAGAAATCAAGAAGTGGCCAGTAGGCATACACTATATTGCCAAAAGTATTGAGACACCCCATCAAATCATTGGATTCAGGTGTTCCGTGAAATTTCCTTGCTGCTAAATATCCCACCGTCATCTGTTAGTGGTATTATAACAAAGTGGAAGCAACTGGGAACAACAGCAACTCAGCCACAAAGTGGTAGGCCATGTAAAATGACAGAGCGGGGTCAGCGCATGCTGAAGCGCACAGTGAGCAGAAGTCGCCAACTGTCTGCAGAGTCAATAGCTACAGACCTCCAAACTTTGTGTGGCCTACAGATTGGCACAACAACAGTGCGTAGAGAGCTTCATGTAATGGGTTTCCATGGCCGAGCAGCTGCATCCAAGCCTTACATCACCAAGTGCAATGCAAAGCGTCGGATGCAGTGGTGTAAAGCACGCCGCCACTGGACTCTAGAGAAGTGGAGACGTGTTCTCTGGAGTGACGAATCACGCTTCTCTGTCTGACAATCCGATGGACGTGTCTGGGTTTGGTGGTTGCCAGGAGAACGGTACATGCCTGACTACATTGTGCCAAGTGTAAGCTTTGGTGGAGGAGGGGATTATGGTGTGGGGTTGTTTTTTAGGGGTTGGGCTTGGCTCCTTAGTTCCAGTGAAGGGAACTCTTAAGGCAGGGGCACCCACAATTTTTCATCTGGAGATCTACTTAACAAATGACGAGCTCAATGAGATCTACCAATGAAAAAACACCTGCATTCAGGGGTGGGAGGGGGCGTGGTGGTGCATTGAAGTCAATGGCACCGCAGGTGTTTATTGAGAAACTCATGAATGAACAGGAAGTGATGTAAATCACATCCTGTTCATTCATAACTGGGGACACATAGTACTATGTGTCCCCAGTTATTTACAAACATTGGAGTGATCAGCTGATCGCTCCAGTGTTTGTCCTGCACAGAGGATTGGTACATATCACTGATTTGCTCAGCTTCTTCTCTGTATTCCCCCCTGCTCTCCCGGCAGAGGCAGCAGGGGGTCCGAGGAGAAGTGAAAGAAGCACTTCAGCCGGGGGGTGGGGGGGCATAGGGCGGAGCTGCTGACACAGAACTAAGCCCGAGCGGTGAGGGGAGAGAGAGGCGCCGGCTATCAGATCCAGGCGAGCGTCTCTCTTTCTCTCTCTCCTCACCGCTCGGTATTAGTTCTGTGACAGCGGCTGCGCCCTCTGCCAGCTGCAGCGGTTCGTTCAGTTCTTCTCGGATCCTCGCTGCATACAGATGGGGAGAGCAGCGGGGATCCAGAGAAGCCCCACCGGCGGGAGGAGAGGACTACGCGATCAACTGGTAGATCGCAATCGACCTTATGGGCACCCCTGTCTTAAGGCATCAGCATACCAAGACATTTTGGACAATTTCATGCTCCCAACTTTGTGGGAACAGTTTGGGATGGCCCCTTCCTGTTCCAACATGACTGCGCACCAGTACACATAGCAAGGTCCATAAAGACATGGATGAGCGAGTTTGGAGTGGAGGAACTTGACTGGCCAGCACAGAGTCCTGACCTCAACCTGATAGAACACCTTTGAGATGAATTAGAGCGGAGACTGTGAGCCCGGCCTTCTCCAACATCAGTACCTGACCTCACAAATGCGCTTCTGGAAGAATGGTCAAACATTCCCATAGACACACTCCTAAAGCTTGTGGACAAGCTTCCCAGAAGAGTTGAAGCTGTTATAGCTGTGGGCGGGCCAACTCAATATTGAACCCTACGGACTAAGACTGGGATGCCATTAAAGTTCATGTGCGCGTAAAGGCCGGCGTCCCAATACTTTTGGCAATATAGTGTATAACTTGCAGTTGAGGACAGGCCACCAAGACTAAAATCAAAATAAACCAGAAACAGGAAGCAATGATTTTGTGCAATACAATTGATATTTAAAATAACTGCCCTCACAATGGTGCGAGAAACATGTCTTAACAGTAGCCCAAATATGCTCTCCTCTGTGCTGACGGGGAGCTCCATTACTGTGGCCGGCAGTTTGACTAAAGTGTCTAGAGGTGCCGAGGTCAACAAGAAAAAGTGGGATTCCCTAAAAAGGTTTTGGATTCATGGCATCCCACTGCCAAGAAAGTTCTTCCCTTCCCACTTCCAGGTCAAAGCATCCGTTAATAGGCAACACATTTCGGAGTGGGTTCCCCTTTGCTAAGGCAAGGAAAGCTTTACTTTTAAAGCTGGACTCTAGAAATAAATCGATTTTTAACGTTTACATTGGGCCAGCTTGGTTACTGTAAGTACTTTAGTGCTCTCTCACCCCCCC